CGCCTTCTCCTCGAGGTTGGACGGTCTGCTCAGTGCCACCTTGTCTCTGGATCCATTTTTGTTCATCAGTTTATGTTGATTATTATATCCCATATATGAGTGAGATCATGTGATATTTGTCTATCTCCAACTGGCTTATTTCACTTAGCATAATGCTCTCCAGTTCCATCCATGCTGTTGCAAATGGTAAAAGTTCCTTCTTTTTTACAGCAGCATAGTGTAGATGTACCATGATTTTTTAATCCACTCATCTGTTGATGGGCACTTAGGCTGTTTCCAAATCTTAGCTATGGTAAATTGTGCTGCTATGAACATAAGGATGTATATATCCTTTCTGATGGGTGTTTCTAGTTTCTTGGGATATATTCCTAGAAGTGGGATCACTGGGTCAAATAGGAGTTCCATTTTTAACTTTTTGAGGAAACCCCATACTGTCTTCCATAGTGGCCACACCAGTCTGCATTCCCACCAGCAGTGCAGGAGGGTTCCTTTTTCTCCGCATCCTCGCCGGCACTTGTCGTTTGTTGATGATAGCCATTCTGACAGGTGTGAGGTGGTACCACATTGTCGTTTTGATTTGCATCTCTTGGATGATTGGAATTACTGTTTTTAATCAAGGACATACATGACTTGTCATCAGTCCTTCTCACTCTGAGTCTTTCAAGTCTGTGACGACCTAATTTTCTCCTTCTCGAAGCAGGAATGGGATCAGGTGACTCAGCGGGCCTCTCCATGAACACACTGTTTAAGAGAGAGAGCTTGCCACCTGCCTGACCTTTCCTTAGAGCTTGAGTTGGTGGGAAGAAAAGCTCTAGGTTGGTGAGAGGCAGGAGTTCGCACAGCAGGACACAGACAGACACAGATGGGTCATTTCAGGACAAGCCCTTGCCCGGTGCTTTCTGTTTATATACGGGACGCTCTTTGGAACCACGTATAACCCTCACAGCCATAAAACCAGAGAACTGGGAATTCAGTTGATCCTTTTCCTTGTATCTCTAAGTGACATTTCATTGAAGTCATTTTGGCATTGCTGGTCTGTAGCTACATGCTGTTTTTATTGGCATTTACCTGTTTTGAAGCTTTTTTAGGAGTTCAAGACCACCTTGAATACAGATTTGGACAATAATTAGAAAAATGTTTTTAGCTTTAAGCATATAAATTTCTTCACTGTGGAAAACCACTTATATATGTAGGGTAGTAAGTCTCGTTTTGATTTTAAATATTTTCTCTACATTTTCTTCCAAATAAAATAAAACTTATAATACTTTGAAAATACTGTATTGTCAAAAAAGCAATATGGATTAATTTTCAAAAGAGATAGTTTAATTTATGAGAGCATGCACATAATTACTTAAGCTAGGTTAATAAAATAGTGCTAAATAAAAGTTCAGTATCCTCATAGTACAGAGACAAGTGATTTTAATGAATTCTAACAGTTGGATGAAAATGAAACTTTCTTTGAGATGATTTTTAAAAATATTTGTGTTCTTGGATGAGATTTTCATCCTTACCCTTTATGAGAAAATAGTTTGTTGAACACAAATAAATATCAGCCTTATTGAACTTTTAAATTTATTATATAAATAAAAAAATTTCCCGTGATTCAAGGCATTTATCAATACATTTGACTTCTGAACATTATAATTACAAGAGACTTTCCAGTAGTATAATTGGCTTCACCTTTGCACTTTCATTTTCCAGTGCCCTCAGTTAAGGACAGCTTTCTAGAAGGTAGAGAAGTTTTCTTATTGATGTGTTCCATTTTAGGTGGTTATGCTTCCTTAACATTAGAGAACTTGGGCCTTATTTACTTCAAATCTTTTTCATACACATTGTTTTGATGTTCCATTAGAAGAACTTTCCTGGTAGTGACTTTTGTTACTAAGTATTCTCTTATTTGAGTAATTATCATTAAGCAGTCTCCACCACAGTGTACAATGACGGGTCATAGAACTGTACACACTGAAATCTGTATAATTTTGTTGACCAGTGACAACCCAGTAAAATCACTACAAAGGAAAAAAATACAGTTTTAGAATTAAAAACAAAACCTAGTGTAAATTTTGCCCTGAAAAAAAGTTCTCTCTGCCGAAACCGGTTTGGCTCAGTGAATAGAGCGTTGGCCTGCGGACTGAAAGGTCCCAGGTTCGATTCCGGTCAAGGGCATGTACCTGGGTTGCGGGCACATCCCCGGTGGGGGATGTGCAGGAGGCGGCTGATCGATGGTTCTCTCTCATTGATGTTTCTGACTCTCTATCTCTCTCCCTTCCTCTCTGTAAAAAATCAATAAAATATATTAAAAAAAAAAAAGTTCTCTCTGACTTTAATCATTTATTAAAATATTGACTTAATTTCAATATGAAGTTATTGTAGGTGTATGTGTAGTTAATCTCCTTTGGAGTACTTTAAGCCTTTTAAATTATTTTATTAAGTGCTCACATATAAGAAATGTTGCAATACAACCCTAAAACTTTAGTATAATTGAGAGTCAGCTATACTTGCTTAATCCCAGATGATTCAGATGTAATAGCAGCAGCATGAGGAGGTCTTAGTCTGTTGACAAGCATCTGGGAGCAAAATCAGTTTCATGCTAGGCCCTCCAGCGGCCCCATGTCCTGTGTGTACTAGTAGTGGTATTAAATAATATATTAAAGATGAATAGATTTTCCTGCTATGCTGATGATCTCAAAGGTTAGAGCTGCACCAGGAATTATCTCTACATTCTGGTTAATAATAATCCTGACAGGGATTGAGTATAGATATTAATCAGATGCTGGCACTTCAGTTCCACCTCCAATTCACATAGTAACAGGTATTCTTTCTGTAGCTACAGCAGTCTTTTTAGAAATAGTTCCCAGTAGCCCAGCTGGCCTGGCTCAGTGGTTTAGCGTCGAGCTATAAACCAGGAGGTCATGGTTTGATTCCCGGTCAGAGGACATGCCCATGTTGCAGGCTCGATCCCCAGGGTGGAGCGTGCAGGAGACAGCCAATGAATGATTCTCTCTCATCATTGATGTTTCTATCTCTCCCTTCCCCTTCTCTGAAATCAATACAAATATATTTTAAAAAAAGGAATAGTCCCCAGTATTCAGGTATTGATAATAACTATTAAGCTTTTGACTGTAATATGCTTTCTAGTAGTTGAAAATAAGCATTTGTACAAATGTTAAATATAGAAAACCATATAACCAGTTTAGGGAAACAAAAAATAAACTAGCAAAGAGGGTATCTTTTAAGATAGTATCTCATAAGTGTGTGTGCTAGTATATTTACACTTGCCAATATAAACATACAAATAAAATAGCAAAAAAAATATGTTTTTAAAACTTTTAATAGTGAGAATTCTTTAATAGAGGGCCATTTGCTTTTTCTTCCCTGTTTGTTCTAATTATCAGGTCTCTGTCTTTTAAATTTAGATTAAAAAAAAATTGTCTCCCCAACTTAGTATTTTTACAGCTGTACTTTTAAAGTTATATATTTAAAGCAGGAATACAAGTAGTTGAAATGTTTATAAGAATTACCAATGTCAAATTTTGAACAAATTTGCACCAGTAGGCTATTTTGACGTTTTAATAGTATCATTTTTGAGTGCACATGCTGATGTTGATTTACAAACAAGATTGTTTATTCCAGAACTATGAAAAGATAGGAGAGAGAGAGAGGGAAGGGAAATATTTTAATTTTGAAAGTACTACTCTTATTTTGTTTATATTTTTTATTATGTTTTCTTGTTTATGCATTGAAATTTCATGTCAAAGTTTTAAATAAATCAACATATATGGATGGATGCCAGTAGTAAATTTTATTTGGTGTGAAGTACTATAGCTAGGAGGCTCTACATTTTAAATAGCAAAATTAAATTTGTTGTATTTGAAATGCATGGAATTCCTATTTAGTGTGGAAAAGTGAAAATGAGAGAACCTACTTCTAGTCCTTATGTATCTGCTTATTGTCATGTCCCATGGAATACACCTCTTGTATTCTCTCTGTGCCTCTGGTTTCTCTTCTGTAAAATGGGCTCAAGAACTTATTGACGCCTTCATCCCTTTCAAGAACATTGAGGACAGATACCTTGAAGTCTTTGGAAGACAAAATGCCACCTTATGTATTTTTTGATACTAATTTGCCTTGTAAGTATGTGCTATGTATTACACACAGTGGCGCGGTGTGACATTTTGAATATTTTTATGAGAACAAAAGTTGTTTGTATGCCTTAATGTTAAACCATAACTTCGTTATTAATGTTTTATAATTTCTGAACTTCTATCTCTGTAGTGCAGTGAGAACTCTCCCTTTGGCCATCTCCATTCCCTATACTGTTCGTGGGTAGAACACGGGGATACTAATTTTTTGTGGCAGTATTTTTAGATTTTGCACAGAAGTTGTTCTGTAGATGGGTTAGGAATATACCCTAGGTCTGCAGTGTACAGAGCAGGGCCTCGTCAGCTTAGGAAAAGACAAAGAGCCCTCTATTTCCTCAGTTTTAGGTTCTTTTTCAACATGTTTATGTTGTCCTGCATTCTGACTCACAGTTTGGAAAGTCAGGTAGAACTTTTTGAGTTTACCATTCACTACTTCCTGAATGGTAAACTCAAAAAGTTCTACCATTCAGGAAGTAGTGAATGGGGAGAATTCCAGGTCAGGATTATGATTTAAAGTAGAGTTCCTTATGATTTCTTTTGCACATGGTTAATTTTCATTACCCAAGAACTTTGTTGCATAATTTTCAACATCGTCAGTGAATGCTTGTATTTAGAGAGCCTGGGTCCTGTAAAGAGTTATCGAGTACTATTTTATTAAAAATAAAAATTCCTATGTCCTATTTTGTTTTTCTGTGGTAAAAATTGTTCTTGTAAAGTATAACAAAGATAATCACTTTCATGTTGGGTTAGTATTTGCAAAGTTTGCTTAGAAATTTTTGATCTTTCTGTGGTAGTGGTTTTCTCAAGCTTCTGTAGTTGTTTTATGTTATTATGACATCTTCTGTCATTCTTTTACAGAGAATTCGGTCAACAGTGGATGAAAAAGAACAAAAGCAACTTCTTATGGATTTGGATGTAGTAATGCGGAGTAGTGATTGCCCATACATTGTTCAGTTTTATGGTGCACTCTTCAGAGAGGTATGAATGAACTATCTGGGTTTTTAGCTGGCGAATGAATATCTAATTGGGATAAATAAAGGGGTGGCAGGCTTCAATCTTAATGTACAGTTAAATGCCATACATTAGTAATAAGTTAATTTCTCAGTAGTTTAGTATATAGCCTTGATAATCTATACCAGTGATGGCGAACCTTTTGAGCTCGGCGTGCCAGCATTTTGAAAACCCTGGCTTAACTCTGGTGCCGTGTCACATATAGAAATTTTTTGATATTTGCAACCATAGTAAAACAAAGATTTATATTTTTGATATTTATTTTATATATTTAAATGCCATTTAACAAAGAAAAATCAACCAAAAATATGAGTTCGCGTGTCACCTCTGACACGCGTGTCATAGGTTCGCCATCACTGATCTATACATAAATTTCTACCACTTATTTTTCCTTTTGTTAAGGTGTGAATCTTACACTTTAAAAATGGCTGTCATTTGTGAATCCCGTATTTCCTTGCTTCATTTATAAATACTTTCTCTTCTTTAAGGGGATCTAACCACAACCTTGGCGCATTGGGACGATGCTCTAACCAACTGAGCTACCTGACCAGGGCTTGATGTACCTTTTCTTCCCTCCCCTCCCCTCCCCTCCCCTCCCCTCCCCTCCCCTCCCCTCCCCTCCCCTCCCCTCCCCTCCCCTCCCCTCCCCTCCCCTCCCCTCCCCTCCCCTCCCCTCCCCTCCCCTCCCCTCCCCTCCCCTCCCCTCCCCTCCCCTCCCCTCCCCTCCCCTCCCCTCCCCTCCCCTCCCCTCCCCTCCCCTCCCCTCCCCTCCCCTCCCCTCCCCTCCCCTCCCCTCCCCTCCCCTCCCCTCCCCTCCCCTCCCCTCCCCTCCCCTCCCCTCCCCTTTTCTTTTCTTTTCTTTTCTTTTCTTTTCTTTTCTTTTCTTTTCTTTTCTTTCGTTTCCATTGCCCAACAAAATGCTTCAAAAAGAAACCTGCTAAGACAGATGTCAGAGATTTTACTGACTTTGTTTTCTTCTAGGAGTTTTATGGTTTTGAGTCTTACATTTAAGTCTTTAATCCACTTTGAGTTTATATATGGTGTAAGAAAGTGATATACCGGTTAATAATGCGGATTTTGTAATCAAAGAAAACATGATAATTTCAAGAGAAACATCAAAAGTGCTTTATTCTAAGTAATGTCCATCGCTAGCTACACATTTCCCCATCTTTCAGGTAATTTATGGATACTGTCCCAATAGAACTTTTCTTGTTTTGAGGCAAACCATTCAGAGACCCAATTTTCCACTTCTTCATATGTTTTGAAGTGCTGCTCAGAAAGTGCGTGCGCCATCGATCAGAACAAGTGGTAATCTGAAGGAGCAAGGTTTGGTGAATATAGCGGGTGGGTTAATACTTCCCAGGCAAGATCTTTTAACGTGTCTTTAACTGGTTTTGAAGTGTGTGATGGTGCGTCATCATGAAGCAAAATTACTTTGCTGTGTCTTCTGGCACATTCTGGTTGTTTCACAATCAAAGCGTGGTTCAAATTGATTATTTATTGTCAGTAGTGATCAGGATTAATGGTTTCACCTGGTTTTAGAAGCTCATAATATAGCACACCTTCCTGATCCCACCAAACACAGAGCATTGTCTTCTTTCCGAAGCGATTTGGTGTTGCAATCAATGTTGACGGTTGACCTGGATCAACCCATGATTTTGTGCATTTGGGATTCTCAAAATAAATCCACTTTTCATCACCAGTCACAATTCAATGCAAAAAAGACTTTCTTTCGTGCTGTTGAAGCAACATTTTACTGATGACTTTCAGTTTTCCATTTGTCTTTCGTTCAGTTGATGTGGCACCCATTTTCCTTCCTTTAAAATCTTTCCCATTGCTTGTAAATGATTGGAAATTGTTTGCGGAGCAATGTTTTAATCTTTCTGAAAGTTGTTTTTGAGTTTGACACGCATGTTCATCCAATAATGCTTGTAATTGTTGGTCTTTAAACTTTTTCGGTTGCCCTGGACGTTCTTTGTCTTTCACATCAAAATCATCACTTCTAAAGTGTTTAAACCAGCGTTCACAAATATCTTGAGATATGGAGCAGGTTCACCATAAGCTTCCCGAAGTATTCAGAAGCAGTTTTCTTCAAAATAAAGTAATGAATTATAACTTCCTGCAAATGCTCTTTTTTTGGCATGAAATTTGACATTTTTAAGTGTAAAAATATCTATGATGTTAACACCTTCAGCAAATTTGACATATGAAGTTTTGAAGGTCGTTGTCAATACAACAAAATAGCATACATATCAAATCGCATATATATCAACATATGTGTAACTCCCATCTATTGAAAAAAATCCACATTATTAACCGGTACACCTAGTAGTTTTATTTTTTTGCTTGCATCTGTTCAGTTTTTCCAATATCATTTATTGACTAGACTGTCTTTACTCATTGTATGTTCTTGCCTCCTTTGTCAAATATTAATTGACCATATAGACATGGGTTTATTTCTGGACTCTCTGTTCCATTGACTTACGTGTCTTTTTCTATTCTAGTATCATGCTGTTTTGATTACAATAGCCTTATATAATTTCATATAAAGTAGTGTGATACCTTCAACTTTGAACTCCTAAGCATTTTAAATGCTCATTAGAAATACCATTCTCATTTTGAAAATGTTCAGATGTGCTGAAACTGTATCACAAAGCCTTGGGGTTTTTATTGTAGTTATTGAAACTTAAAATAAACTGTGTTATAAGACAGAACTAAATGTATACTGACTAGAAGTATGAAATCTTGTGATTGGAGAAGACCTTAGAGGTTAATCAATTAATTCTCCACCCAACCCTAAAATTTATTTATTTGTGTGTGTGTGTGTGTGTGTGTGTGTGTGTGTTCTTAATAGGTAACTCTAGTAACTGGAAGAATACTACTTCATGATAAAGCCTATTTCTTTGTTCAATTACTAATTAATCACTGTTAATTCTATACTTGTAGTTTCTTCTTCCTCCTGTCCTTGTACTTTTTAATGAGTTGAATATTCATATATTTTTTTACCCAATACATTGAATTTCTTAGCTTACTTCACTATTTCACATCAGTATGACATTGTATCTATATCAGGTACATAACTGTATCCTGGGCCTAAGTATTACATCAAGTTATTCTGTTAGTAAGGTCATGCGTCTGGAACTTGTTTAGGTTGCACAGGAATCTTGGTATCTCCTCTCCCCTTCTTTTACCAAACCATAACTTTATTCTTCATAATCACTAAATCCTTTTTCAATCTTACGCAAAAGAGTTGTTATTTAGGATTGGACTAGATCTTCTCTCCTAACTGGATTCCGTAGTCAGCTTTTCCAGTGCTGTGTTCACTAAAGCCTCCCACTGGCTCTACCTTCACTGGAATTCACTTCCTTAGTGCTTGAACATGCCAATTTAGTGCTCCTGTTCATTTATTTAGTCCTTCATTTAAGCAACATTTAAATATCTAGCCCCAGGCTAAGTAGTGTGGAAGTCTGATTTCATGAAAAGAAGGGTAAGTGATATCTACAATTGAGAACTTACTGATCATAAAACAAAAAGCTTTTTATAAACAAAAAGAATAGGATCTGAATGGTATCCTTATGGTTTCTCACAAATAGCTGAGTACAATTTAGTTTTACATCTCAGGAAGGTCGAAGGGAGTTGAGATAAGCAGTTATAAGCACTAGCATCTATTGAATGCTCTATCGTTTTCACATATATTATCATCACAACGGTCTCAGGCAGTTTGGTGGTATTATGCCCTTTTTCCAGAGAGGAAACTGAGATTAGAGTACTAATTTGAAAAAAGTCACACAGCCACTAAGTGTCACAGTTGGGAATTCAGAGACAAAGTTCTCACTGTTCATTCATTCTATACCACAGGTGGTCTAGGGATGAAGAACTTTTAGCTTAATTTAAAATATAGCCTTTTTAAACATTACAACTTTTGACTATGATAAGATGAAATCTTAAGAACTATACAGTTAAGCTGTATATAGTCATAAAATGCCGAGAGTGAACTTGAACTTCTCCCCCAAATCTTAGAATAGGAGAAATAATAGGTACTTTCTCAATAATAAAAAATGAAGTTTTAGAAGCAGAAAGTTCATTTAAAGAGTGCATAGTCAGCCTATCTGGTTTGACTCAGTGGATAGAGCATCGGCCTGCAGACTGAAGGGTCAAGGGCACATACCTCAGTTGCAGGCTCAGGCCCTGATTGGGCCTGTGCGGGAGGCAGCCATCAGGTGTCTCTCTCACACCAGTGTTTCTCTCTCTCTGTCTCTCCCCTTCCCTTCCACTCTCTCTAAACAAACAAACAAACAAACAAACAATAAATAAATAAATGGAAAAATATCCTCTTGTAAGGATTAACAAAAAAGTGAGTAGTCAAAGTTTGTTTTCTCAAGTTACAAAGGGTAAAAATGTTAAACAGATTTAATAAGGGTTTAGAGAAACACTTTTCTTTTAAGATTGATTATTTAAAAATAAAGATCTCTTTTGGCTACATGACCTTCAGTTTTAGTAATAGACCCAAAATTCTGGGTTTATGACAGGAAAGAATGGAAGTGTTTGTGCAGTCAGGACTTTTTGCCTTACATCACTGTGTGAGAGACACGTGCTTTTAATTCTGTCACTGTGAGAAACCCTCCAGAATATTTCACATAATTTAGTGTCCATAAGACATCAGGTTTTGGTCTGGTTCAGTCACCATCCATCAAGGGGCTTGAGAAAAGGTATTTTTCTTCTTGTAGCTACTATGTAGAGATTAATCTTGCTATTGTGTAATTTTGAGCCTTTGTAAGTTCTATAGCTTTATTTAGAGCAGTGAATAAATAATACTTATTACTGAAGTTGGTAACTTATATGTTGCCATTGTTTCCAACCATGTATACTTCTTTCTAGGATGGACCTAAACTCAAATAAAAAGCCCCAAGTTCAACTTGGATTCGATTAAGTAAGTTATTAAGACATCCAATTGCATAGGTTTCTAAATTTGTTTTCAGACTTTGTAGACTGGGAAAAGAAGAGCTTGGTAGTATTGAAAAATTAAAGTAAATTTTAGCCTATAATTTACTTAAAGGCTTTTAATATATAAATTGTCAGAATTTAATAGCAAGGAAATCCTTAGGTTGAGGTTGGAGAAATTCTAGTGTAGGAAATACTGTTCTGAGTAAGTTCTGATTGTAGAAATTCATCAGATTATATAAAAGTGATATTAGCTGAATTTAGTCACCTTCTCTTTCTACTCCTTCTTCTCATGTTCTTCTTTCTCTTTCCTTCCCCCCTTGCAAGTTATAAATACAGCTTATGGAGCTAATGTTGACACATGATAAACCACACATATTTAAAGTATACAATTTGATATGTTTGGACAAATGTATGCACCTGTACAGTTATGACCATACTCAAGATAATGAACTTCATCACTCACAAGTTTCCTTGTGTCCCACAGGTAATACACACTTCCTTTCTGCTGTCAGCATCCTCAGCAACCGTAGGTCTGCTTTCTGCCACTATAGATAAATTTGCATTTTCTAGAATTTTGTGTAAATGGAATCAAACAGTATGTACTCTTTTTAAAAGAGATTTTCTTTTACTCAGCATAATTATTTTGCAATTCATGTTGTGGCATGTATAAATAGTTTGTTCCTTTTGATTGTGGAGTAGTATTAGTTTTCCATTGCGTGGGTATACCACAGTTTGTTTATTCATTTGGGTTGTTTCCAGTTTTTATCTATTACAGTAAAACTGCTGTGAGTATTTGTGTACAAGGATTTGAGTGGACGTATGATTTTGTTTCCTTTGGGTTAAATACCTGGAAGTGGGATGGCTGGATCATATGTTTCAGTTTTTTAAAAAATGGGCAAACTATTTTTAAAAGTCCAGTTGACTTTTGAACAACTTGAGGGTTGGGGCGCTGACCATTGAAAATCTGCATATGACTTTTAACTCCCCACAAACTTAATGAGAGTTGTCCTTCAGTATCTGCAGAGGATTGTTCTAGGCACTTCACCAGTACCCAAATCCAGAGATGCTCAAGTTCCCTATGTAAGATAAGATAGCATAGAATAATGCATGCAGTCGGCGTCCTGCATTCTCAGATTCCCCACTGCAGATCCAAAATAACTGTTTTTGATCCACAGTTGGTTGAGTAGGAGGATGTGAAACTAGGGATATGGTGGGGTGACTGTATATTGAAAAAAAAATCTGCATTTAAATGAACATTCGAAGTTCAAACCCATGTTGTTCAAGGGTCAACTGTAGTTGCATTTGCAGCTTCCAGTGGTGGTAGATGAGAGTTTATTTCTTCCACATCTTCTCAACAGCTGGGGTTTCCATCTTTTTAATTTTTAGCCACTCTAATAGATTTAGAGTGGAATCTCATTGCATTTTTAATTTTCATTTTTCTAATGACAGATACTGTTAAGCAGCTTTTCCTGTGCTTACTTGCCAGCTGTCTCCTTCGATGCAGTTTCTATTCAAATCTTTTTGTCATTTTCTTAATTGTTTTGCTTATTTTCTTACTATTGAGTTTTGGTAGTTTTTTAAAAAAAATGTTACTCTGGATACAGGTTTATTATCTATATATATAAAAAAGCCTGTGGTCGTGATGCCCTCATGCCGTAACGACCAATCACCAGGAGGCTGTGTATTCGGCAGGCATGCACGGGTGGATGGGGCTGCATGCTCAGTGAGGTGTGCAGGTGGGCGGGGACTTGATGCTGTGTCCCAGTGGGCACCGGCCCAGACTCTGACAGGAGGGAGGAGGGAGCCAGATACTCGCACCCAGGACTTGACTCGGTCTTGTGGCACCAGTGGGACTTGATGCTGGGTCTCTGCGGGCACTGACAGGGACTTGACGCTGTGTCCCCATCGGTGCCGGCCAGACTCTGACAGGAGGGAGCCAGATACCCGCAATATTAAAATATTTTCTCTAATTCCCTTTTAATGTGCATGAATTTCATGCACTGGCCACTAGTCAGATATATGATTGCAAATGTTTGTCCCTCCCCCATGTCTGTGTCTTATCTGTTACACATTTTAAGTGTGTTTTTTTGTTTGTTTGTTTGTTTTTTTAAAAAATATATTTCTATTGATTTCAGAGAGGAAGGGAGAGGGAGGGAGAAATACAAACATAAATGATGAGAGAAAATCATTGATTGGCTACCTCCTGCATGCCCCCTACTGGGTATGAAGCCCGAACCCAGGTATGTGCCCTTGACCAGAATTGAACACGGGACCCTTCAGTCCGCAGGCTGACGCTTTATCCACTGAGCCAAACCAGCTAGGACTTAAATATTTATTTTAGAAAGCGTAAGTTTTTAATATTGATGTAGGACAACTTGTCTGTTTTTTTCTTTTATGCATTGTGCTTTTGGTGTTGTATCTAAGGAATTTTTGCTGCACTCAAATTTTCTCTTATGTTTTTCTCTCATACTTTTATTGTTTTAGACATCACAATTATATTATCCATTTAGAATTAGTTTTTATGTGGTGAGAGGTGTGGATTGATGTTTGCTTTTTTTGCATTTGGATATCCTTTGTAGTTTTGCCAGGAATCAGTGTGTGGGTCTATTTCTGGACTATCTAGTTTGTTCCATTCATCTGTTTTGTCTCTCTTTGCACCAGTTTCACACCGTCTTGATTATTCTAGCTTTATAGAAAGTCTTGAGATCAAGTAGTACTTACTGGTCTTTAAAATTCATTTTTCTTAAAAAATAAGTTTTAGCTATTTGAGGCCCTTTTCGTTTCCATATAGATTTTGGTATCTGCTTGTCAGTTTTTATAAAAACAAATCCCCAGAATTGTTGATTGGGATTATTTTGAATCTATACATCTGTTGGGAGAGTATCAATATTTTAACAGTATTAAGTCTAATGACCGATTAACATGGTATTTTATTTCATTTATTTACATCTTTAAAACATTTTTCAGCAATATTTTATAGTTTTTACCATATAAGTCTTTCACATTATTTGTTAAATTAAGTACGTGATATACTTTGATGCTTTAATAAATGAGATTTAAAAAAATATTTCCTCTTATGTTGTGACTAATATGTAGAAATACAGTTGATTCTTGTTTTCTTTTTAGTTTTCTTTTTTTTCTCCCCCCGAATTTATATCTCCAACCCTGACTTCTCCCCTGAACTCTAGGCTCGTACAACTGCCTAACCAATATCTCCACTTGGATGTTTGATAGGCAACTCAAAATTAAGATGAGCACAAATTGAGAACTCTCAACTTACTACCTCACTTCCCAAACCCTCATCACCCCTAGGATTTATCTCCACAATTGGTCATATCAGCCTAAGTACATAGGCCAAAAGGTCAGGAGTTATCTTCATTCCTCTTATTTCCTTACATTCCAGTCAGTAAGTTCTACTGGCTCTACCTCCAAAATATAACCTAATACCTACGGTGGCCTTCCTTGCCATCTCACTGCTATAATCTTGGCCCAAGCCACAGTCTAACCAGTCTTTCCATATCCAGTCCTGCCTCTCTATGTTCATTCCCCATGCAGCAGAGTGATCTTAAATGGTAAATCAGGTAACCTGACCCCGGAGAATTGCACTGAGAATAAACTTTGCACTTTACTTGCAAAGCTTCTCACTATCTGATTGCTGTTTATGTCTCCTTTATGGTTCTGCTCTTTGCCTACTGTGTTCCAGCAACAGCAGACAGCAACCTTCTTTCCATTCCTAAACAGATAGGAACAGGTAAGCAAGCTCAGTCAGGTTCTTATGACTTCATACTAGCTATTACCTTTACGTGGGATGCTGTTCCCTTGGACAAAAAAAAAGAGAGAGAGAGAAAGAGAAAGGAAAAGAAAGAAAGAAAAAGAGAAGGAAAGGAAAGAAAAGAGAAAAGAAAGGAAAGAGAAAAGAAAAAAAAAGCTGGCATTTTGGCTGGTGTGCTTAGCGATTAGTGCATCACCCCACACACTGAAGAGTCTGGGGTTCAATTTTCAGTCAAGGGCACCGTACCTGGGTTGCAGGTTCCAGCCCCACCTGGGTTGAGGTGCCTGTGGGAGGCAACCTATTGATGTGTCTCTCTCACATGGATCTCGCTGTCTCTATTCTTGTTTTTTTGTTTTTTGTTTTTAATCTTGTGTAGTGGAACCTTATTAAACTCAATGAATTTTGGAAGCTTTTTGTAAATTTTATCACATTTTCTACATAGATTATCGTGTCATCTGTGAATAAAGAGCCTTTAGTTCTGTCTTTCCAATTTGGGTCTCTCTCTGTCTCTGTCTCTGTCTCTGTCTCTGTCTCTGTCTCTGTCTCTGTCTCTCTCTCTCTGTCTCTCTCTTCGCTCTCGCTCTCGCTCTTTATCTCTCATACTCTCTTTCTTTTCTTTTTTCTCCCTTCACTCCCTTCCTCTCTACCTCCATTTTTGTTGTTGTTTTGTTCTTTTTCTTTCATTTCTTATTGCACTAGCTAGAATCCTCTGGTGCACTGCTATTGGATAGAAATGGTGAAGTGGACATCCTTGTTATGTTTCTGATCTTAGGAGGGAAGCATTCAGCCTTCCACCATTAATGATGTTAGCTGTAGGTTTTTCATAGATGTTCTTTGTTTGGCTGAAGAAGCTCCCTTCTGTTACTAGTTTGCTGAGAGTTTTTTTCAGGAATGGATATTAGAGTTTTGTCAAATTGTTTTTATACATTCTTGAGATGATTGTATGCTAAATTTTTCTTTTTAAAATATGGTAAGTTACATGGATTGCTTTTCAAATGTTAAACCAGCCTTGTCTTTCTGGGCTAAAACCACATGATTATTATGTATTATTTTTTAATATATTGTTAAATTTGCTAAAATTTTATTTAGAAGTTGTATATGCATGCCACGAGAGATATTCGTCTGTAATTTTCTTATAATGGTTTTATTTTTTTTGCTTTGTATCAGTGTAATGCTAGCCTTATAGAATGAGTTGGGAAATATTACCCCATTTTCAGTTTTCTGGAAGAATTTATGGAATTGGTATTATTTCTTCTGTAAATATTTGATAGAAATCACCAATGAAGCCATTTGAACATGGAGTTTTTTGTGTGGGAAGATGTTCAACTATAAATCAATTTCTTTCAAAGATAGAATTCTATTCAAGGTATCTGTTTCTTCTAAAGTGATCTTGGGTGGTAAATTTACTTGAAGAAATTTGACCCTTTCATCTAAATTGTCACATTAATTGGCATAGAATTATTTATGATAGTCCTTTATTATCATCTTAATATTTGTAGAATCTATTGTGATGTTTCCTCTCTCTCCTTCTCTCATTCATGATGTAGGTAATTCACACCTTCTCTATTTTTTCCTGATTAGTCTGGCTAGAGGTTTATCAAATTTATTTTTATTTTATTTTAAAAATTTATTTTTATTGATTTCAGAGAGGAAGAGAGAGGGAGAGAGAGTTAGAGTTAGAAACATCAGTGATGAAAGAGAATTATTGGTCAGCTACCTTCAGCATAACCACCACAACCCCGGGCATGTGCTCT